ACCAGATATTATTATATATGTCTAACAGGAAAGTGAGGCAGCGGTTGGGTAGGTTTTTAAGAAAAATATAAGGGATATCATAAGGGCCGGCAGAAGTATTTTTATCCGAGGATAAGGCAGATGTAAGTTCAGCCAATGAGAAAGGAAAATTAATAAGTTCACTCATCTGATATTAAGATGTTTGGAATAAATTATAAACGATCACAAACAATTATCATGTTTGATGCGCTTATTACGTAAATTTTATAGAGTTAGATTATTATTTGTTTTATTTTGTGTACGTGTTTTAAAAAAAAAACTATTTTCAAAAAGCTCTAGGTGTCAAGTTATGGGCAAGTTCCCTACAAAATTTAGTTGCCAAAATATTTAATTGCCAAAAAAATATAAGAATAATAAATACATGTTAAGATTTTTGTTTTTTACTTACCTCCATATAAACCATCCAAAGACAGTATGAATATCTCTAAAACAAACAGTTTATTATAAAATCCACAAGGAAAAATTCCTGTAGCTGGCTGTATACCACGTATAACAAAAAGAGGTTAATCTTTGTAAATGGGTATATTTATTTAAAAAACCCTTAAAAGGGCCACATCAATAAAACAAACGTTTTCGGACCACACAGTCCATCATCAGGTTATTAAAATCGAAAATGCCTAAAAATAAGTATAAACCATTTAGTTAAAACAAACGAGATTGTGAAATTTTGACTATGGTTGAAAAGCAAAAGATGGTTTATACTTACTAGGTCATAATGCCTGAGCCACCAAAATATTAGGGTAAAAACCCTTTAAATTACATTTAGTTATGAAATGTTGTACATTGTGTTATAAAATAAATGTGATGTTCAATATTAAATTAAATTTGACTATAGGTAACACATGGCCAATTGGGTTCCAGAGCCGGGTGAGAGGGAACCTCTGCACTCGGAGAACAACGTGGAACTGGTTGACAAGATACTTTTGAAGGATGAAGATAACAGAATGTCAATGCAACAAAAACTATAAAAATTGTACATAGTATTACTACAGCCAAAAGATTCAACAAGTTTTGATGATTTTAAAAAATAACAACAATCTAGGTGTTGGGATTTAAAAACTTTTTATTTATTAATTTAGGGTATAAAGGATGTCAAATCAATGATGGTTTTATAGTCATGATTAATAGAATAACCTGTGCCTTAGGCAACTTATGTTGCTTTTCGTCGTATGGAATGTGGTCTAAAGTGTATTTAATTTTGGGTTAGCTTGTATTTATGAAATTTATCCTTTTATGTTTAACACATCTAGGACAAGGTAAAAATTAAATAACAAATATTTGAAGCTAATATCAGACCTCATATTTAAATGACTTTATTTAAGAATGCTCCTATGGTGAAAAATTAATAAAATTAAGTTTAGTAAGATGGAAGTCTACAGGCTGAAGAAATTAAAGTAGTAACATATGTGATTGAATTTAAAATTGAAGAGACTGAGTTCCTCAGAGACTAATGAGAATGAAAGTAAAAGAAACCGAAGAAAAGGAGGGGGGGGGGGTTGAAGGAAAAAAAGGAGTTGATCAACAATTAGAGATAATAGGGGTTATTTATACTTAAAGTATCTAGCACCCTGAACAAAATCTATTTAGGTGGTATTAAATTCAGTTTGTAGAAACCTGAAATTTGTTGTATAAGTGTGCTACTAAGTTGTTGACCGAAAGAAGGTGGACAAAGGTAGATTAGGATTCTTTGTAATATGGTAGATTATGAATTTTAATAAATTGTTAGATAATGTTTGAGTGATTACTAAATTAAAATTATTGGATACATGTTTAATATATGAATTGACCAAGAAATAATGAAAGAGAACAGAATTAACAGGAAAGCGATGTAGAAGTGAAGAGTGGATAAGATAGTGAAATGTTGGTATGATGGATGTGGGTGGTTCTGAAGTTAAAATTGGGGTCAGAAATTTGTGAGAGGAAGGTGTGACGATATTGTATAAAATAGGTGTTTGAAGAACCACAAGATTATGTAGGAATAAGGTGTTGACGTTTGTATAGGAAAATAAGGCAGAGAAAATAGGACAGTATTGTGAAGTGTGGACTATGAAAAAAGTTGACGATGTAAAGGTTGAAAGTCACGGTTGAAAGATACATGGCGATTAACACAATTGGGGCTTTTTTGTTTTTCTTTGACTATTTCCAAGTCTTCATATAGATCTAATTTTAGAAAATTTTTTTGGGGAATATTATGTAATAAAGAGACGTCTTCTGGGATGTTGAGGGTATGTTTATGTTGTGCAAGATGTTGAGAGAAGGTGGACTGTGTGGTCCGAAAACGTTTGTTTTATTGATGTGGCCCCTTTTAAGGGTTTTTTAAATAAATATACCCATTTACAAAGATTAACCTCTTTTAGTTTATTATAAATATTACGTAATGTTTAAAGTAAAAAATATTTCAGTCAACGTGAATGTCAAATGTCAACGTCACACGCCAAAAAGTCCATGTCAAATATCAAATAGTAGAAACGGTTCCTTAATATTATTCCATTATATTATTATATTACAAATTAAAAAAATATTAAGACGTCGATGACATAGAACTGTTGGATTTTAGACCAAAAACCTTAATATATTACGAAGAAGCAGTAAGGTACCAAAAGAATTTGCCTTATATATTACTCGATTTCTTCTTCTTTGTTCAAGTTCCCTTGAGGTTGGCGATTAACATGACAAGACGCTCTCTGTCAAGTTAAAGTTTATTTTATATAATCGAATGATCTATCTTACAAGGAAAGTCGTCCCAGGAACGCAACTCAACAACATTGGCAACATTATTTTAAAGTCGTCTACTTTATAATTTATAATGTATGTAGGATAAAATTAAATTATTAGAAGAATGTTTCAACAAATACCAAAAAACAAAATTTGTTTAATTTACTAATGCTTGTTTTTTGAACGATTTCCGAAGTGGAAATTAAAATGTCAATAAACTAACTTAAACCTTTAATTGTGGCTTATTCCCATGTAGATAGTAATTACTTTTTTTTGTCACTTTGGTGGTCAATTTCATAATTATATTTAGAAGTATTGTTCTGAAGATATGGTAAAAAGAGAAGAATCAAAGGAGCGGCTCTAATTATGCTAAATGAGACCAATTGTGTAGCAAATTCCTTGGCAGAATGTAGTAGGATCTGGTTATCTATATTGAAAAAGAAAGTTATTAAAAAGAAAATACCAGTATTAATAAGTCAGTAATATATGGAGGATACATCATTTATGTTTTTAAAAAAGAAACATATAGAATCAGTATTTGGTGTTTATTAAAAGTGAACTAAAGGCACGACCAAATACTTGCCATGTCGGGATAGTATTATGAGGTTTTTTTCCAGGTTTTTCCCTCATAATTTACTATGGAATCACTAACAGGAGAATTTTACTGTCATCATAGCATGTGTTTATCTTTTTAAAGACCAATTACATGCTGTGATTTTTTCTGACGAATATTCTTAAGTTAAAGTTGATTTCATGTAATCGAATGAACTATCTTATAGTAAAGTCGTCCCAGGAGCGCAACTCAACAATATTGGCAATATCATTTTAAAGTCGTCTACTTTAAAATGTATAATGAATTGTCAATATAAATGAGTCAGATAAAATAAAATTTTTAGAAGAATTTTTCACTAATTAACAAAAAAACAAAATTTGTTTAAGTTACAAATATTTGTATTTTGAAAACGATTTCCGAAGTGGAAATTGAAACGTCAATAAACGCATTTTAACCTTTAATTGTGACTTATTCCCATTTTAATAGTAATTATATGTAGAAGATTTTTGCTTCTATAATTTAAATAATTCTGTGTATCTCCTTCCTTATAAGCTTGGCATTACGAATATCTTTTAATTCTCTTTTGCAGGAATTTCGCAATTTCGGTATGAAGCGACTCCACCATATTTTAGCATTCTATTAGGAATGAATTAACTTAAATACGCAGAAAAGTACAATAAAAAAAACCAAATGTTTGGTTTTGCAATCGTAACTTACATCCAAATGCACAACTTTAAATAAATGGAAACCAAGTACAGATTAAAACAAAAAAAAATAGCAACTAGATCCTGAGATTTTTACATATATAACAAAAATAATTATCAACTGCTATGTTTTTCCAGTGAATCATTCGAGGAATAGATGAACACTACATATACCTAATGACAAACTATCATGATGTCCTTAAAGTATCTCTCTTACTTGTATATATTTTGAGATAAGATAAATATGAAAAACTGATTCTAAAGAAAAAAAAATAAAAATAAGGACAGAAAGCTTCTTACCAAAGCATGGGACAATTTTTATATGGCTGCATAAATTCTTTTTTCTCGTTAAAAACCAAAGCATATAATGTTGATATGACTCAAAAAGAAGGAAAAACAGATACATACTTTGTATCAATTTTATTTCGGATAGTTTTTATTTAATTTATTTGCTTTCCTATAATTAAATTTAATTACCTTTGCTTTTGGATCCTCTGGAAATTGGCCCATAATCATTTGATTGATAAGTGTGTCAGAGACACCAGTTGTGTGTTGGCATATTTGATGTATTGTGTCAATTCTCTCCAATTGACTAGCACTAAAATCCTAAAAAACAGAGGTTTTTAAACAAAGGACCCCAGTACTTTTCTTGTGTAAAAATGGGTGAGGCAGCTCTGGTTATGCGGATTAAAGGCTCATTGGGCCAAGGCTCAAAAATCAATTGTTTCTAAGTTATGAAGCTTCATAAGATCGGATTTTAGTCCATTTTGAAAATCATGAATTTAAAAAGGTACCGTCTCACACATTCAATATACGGCATTTGAAACTCAATAAACACAAATATGGTATGGAAATAAAACACAAATAATACAATATTAGAGTAATTTACAATGTTAGAGTATCTATTCCATCATTTTTCTAAAATACGTAGGAGGTTTATTTACGAATTAATATACAGAAAAAAGAAGAAAACTTGGAATACGAATGAGAGACAGACGAGAGAGAAGTGGAACCATCAACAATTCTAGAAGTTAAAAATGCTTTTAAAAAACTAGCCAGAAACATATCACTCGGAATAGATAATCCCCCCAGCTGAACTCTATAAAGAAGGTGGAAATAATAACATAATGGCATTACAACAGCTTTCAAAAGAAATATGGGCACAGAAATCCCTAACCAATAATTGTACCCAATATCTATATAATAAATCATTGCAAATTCTTGCCTACGCTGATGATATCAATATTATTGGAAGAACGGAAAATGCTGTACAAGAGAAGTATTTAGCATTAAAAGAATCGGCTGAGGGGGTAGGGTATTTAATGCGAATGGAAAAAAATAATCCAGCTGGAAAAACGCTGCTCGATAGACCCATTGGTGAGAGTAGAAGAGAAAGACCCAGACAGAACAAGGTTCCTTGAAAACATCGATGAAGACATAAGGAAATATGGGGGGAATGCGTGCTTGGCAGACGAAGGCGACTGGAAGAGAAATTCTTGAGGAGGCCAGGTCCCACGCAGGCTTGTAAAGCCAGATTGTATCGCGAATATATCTGTTCTCGTAGCTGGCTCACTGTAAAGGACGTCGTATTACTAATTAAAATGAACGGAAAGCTATCAAATTGTTATGAACCAAAAATATTTTGATTTTCATATTAGTAAATGGCGTACCTATTTGTTCACTTTCTTAGCAGAGTGTAGTGGACTTCATCGTGTTTATAAATTAAATGTATCTTTACCTACCTTTCGGTTTATTTTTCCGTAACTCAGCCAAGTCAAACAAAGCAAAATTGTAGTTATAAAAAGCTTCATATTTAAGAATCGAAGTATACCTACAAAAATTTAAAAATTTGAAAAACTGTTTTCCAAAAAATTAGATTGTAATACTTGATAACAAACAATTGCTGACTTATAAATTATTTACTGAAAAACTATTTAAAAATGTTATATTTATAGGAAAAAGAGTAGGTATAATAATTACTCTTTTTATTACTAAAAGTAATGATAAATTAATGATATACTGATACTTTTAATGAGTATGGTTAATTATTAAACCTATCCTCGCTTCGTAATCGAAAAAACTGTTATAGGATTTTTATATTTTAATGTATGTAAGAGCACTCACATGGATTACAATGCCTTTTAAATGCCATTGATACAGTGGGAAGAGAGTTTGGCCTAAACATAAACTGTGCAAAAACAAAACACATGGTGTTTAGCCGTTTAGCACATCAAGATGCACGATTATATGCTGATGGTCATATAATTCAAAGAGTGTCCAGTTTTAAATATCTTGGTTGCCATATTACTGAACAACTAGATCCAGATCAAGAGATAAAATGTAGAATCGAGATAGCCCGCACGACATTTTTAAAAATGAGGTCATTTTTCTGTAATGATAACTTGCAACTTCAACTTCGAAAAGCACATGGTTAAATGCTACATTTGGTCAGTCCTCTTATACGGTGTCGAAGCATGGACATTAAAAATATCCACGATTAATCGTCTGGAGGTCTTTGAGATGTGGCTGCACAGACGTATACTAAAAATTCCATGGACGGATATGCTGACAAATGTGGCAGTCCTTGAAAGAGCAAATGCTGCTCGCGAGCTGCTTGATAACATCAAATGTAGAAAAAATGGTATATATCGCTTATATTCATCGTTGGTAGTCTGGATTTCTTCTAGTGTCAAAATCTGATCTATCACTAATCTATTAACTCTAAAACCAGCCTTATACTCACCTAGTTAATCATAAGCAAATCTGTTGCGTCTACCTCTTAGCATTCTGGCTAATATCTTGTAAAAAGTATTCAGCAGAACAACACTTTTGTAATTTTCATTTGCCGATATATCTCTCTTTTGTATGTGGGACATACTAAAGCTTTGGTCCAATCTTTGGGCACATTTTCCTCTTTGTACATTCTCTTGAAAAGACATAAACATCCTTTTCTGTAGTTCTTTCCCGCCACTCTTTAGCATTCTCGCAGTTATTTCATATTTTCCTGTTTTTTTTTTTTGTTATTTTGGAAAACATTAAATATATGTTTAATTTTTCTTTCGCTAAAAGTTCTATTATTATACATTCATCCTGAATAAGGAAATTTTTATTTTCATCTGCATTTTGCCCATCCAGTAGTTCACTAAATTGCCAATTTCATATAGCTATCACTGATTCTTTTTCAATCGTAAGTGTTTCATCTTCTTTTTTTATGTAGGAATTGTAATTCTGGTATCCCCTTTAAGTTTTTTAACTTCTTGATAAAATGACCGTATTTCTTTTTCCTGAAATCTTTTCTCTATTTCTTGTAATATTTTTTCGTTATATTCTCTTCTCTTTCGTGTGAATATGCTTCTCATTATTCTTCTTGATCTTTGTAATTCTGGTTTATAGTATAACTATTATTTTTCAGTGTCAATTGTCTTAATCTTTTCTCTTGCTCTGCTATTTCATTTATTTCAATAATGATTTTTCCTCTTTGAATTTGGGTTCCTCATTTCTTTGTCTTTTTCTACCGTTTCGCATATAGCTCTAATCAGAAAATGGTAATTTATTTTGGCTCCTCTAATACTTTCTTGTGGTTTCTTTTCAACAATACAAAAAAAAACAAGACTACTGCCAAGACATGCGAAGACTACAGAACAATTAGCCTAATGAGCCACTTACTTAAAACGTTCTTGAAAGTAATACACAGCAGAATATATAAAAAATGCGAAGAACAAGTATCATGGACGCAGTTTCGATTTCGCGATTCCTTAGGCACCCGAGAAGCTCTATTCGCTGTCCAAGTGCTTATGCAAAGATGCAGGGATGTTAACTGCGATGTGTATATTTGTTTTATCGACTACAAAAAGACATTTGATAGAGTAAAACATGATAAACTTATAAACATCTTGAAAGAAGTGGGGCTAGATGATAGGGACTTGAGAATCATCTATAATTTATATTACAACCAAACAGCCAATATTAAAGTGGATGACCAATTGACAGAGGCAGTCTCAATAGATGCAGGAATGAGGCAAGGATGTATTCTGTCCCCGGTGTTTTTTAATATATACTCTGAATATATCTTCGAGTAAGCGATAGGAGAACTACAAGAAGGCGTATTAGTCAAATGAATGCGTCTAAACAACATTAGATACGCCAACAACGCAGCTGGTTTTTGCAGATAGCCTGGACGGTTTGCAAAGAATAATGTCGCCTATATCAGATGTAAGTATAGAACATGGACTCGATATTAATACCAAGAAAACAAAGTACATGGTAGTCAGTAAGCGCGAAATATTAAATACACAGCTTTTGATTAACCAACATTTAATTGACAGAGTGGACAGCTACACATACTTTGGTACCAACATGTAACAACCAATGGTATCACTCCAGTAAAATAAAACAACGCATAGGAAAAGCGAGATCAGCGTTCATAATAATGAAGTCTCTTTTCAGAAGTCACGATTTACCACTTGCTAGCAAAATCTCTTTAAATGCTATGTATTTTCTACGTTATTATACGGAGTAGAGGCTGGACACTTTCCGAAGCTTCTTTAAGAAAACTCGAGGCATTCAAGATATGGTCTTACAGACGTATTTTAAGAATTTCATGGGTGAATCGTGTGACTAATGTTGAGGTCCTATGAAGAATAGGCAAGGAATGCGAGATTATTAACACCATCAAAGAGCGCAAACTAGAATATCTAGACCATGTTATGAGGAATGAAGGTATGGCTTGTTGCAACTCATTCTTCAGGGCAAGGTATTTGAAAAGAGAGGACGAGGGAGAAGAAGCATATTTTTGCTTCAAAACCTGAGAAAGTGGTTTAATACATCGACAACCGGACTATTCAGAATAGCAGCAAGCAAAGTTAGGATAGCCATGTTGATCGCCAACATCTGGAACGGATAGGCCCTGTAAGAAGAAGAAGATTATTTATTAGAGTGATTTTGTCTATTTCGTCTATATCTTTATAATCACTGTCTAATTTTTGGGTAAGTTGTTCTTTTAATAGGTCTTTGTATATCTCTTCATATTGCCCTAGTTTGTTTCTATCTACTAGATCCCGGTTTCTAATTGTTTTGCTTGTCATTTCATAGTTACCGTCAATACTAATTTTTGCTCTGACCATCCTGTGATCGCTACCTGTTGTGAATCTGTTAAGAACTGTTACATCTTTAATGCTATATCGTTCCGTGGACAGTATGTATTCGATCTGTTTTTTTGTGGATCCATTAGGGCTGATGCATGTCCATTTTCGTTGGGGCTTATTTTTGTAAAAGGAGTTCATTGCATATAGATGCTTTTCTTCTAGGGAGTTCATCAAAGTAGCACCTCTATCATTTCTTTGATTATACCCGAAATTTCTCATTTTAGTTTCTACTTTGTTTAGTTTTCTACCCAGTTTAGCATTGAAATCAGTTTAGCATCATAAGCTGTCGTGGGGGCATATACCTGGATAATTTTAATTGATGTTCTTCTTATTTTAAGTATGACATAGGCAACACGATCTGATATACCTTTACCTTTGATAATTTGGATATGCTTACTTATAGCTTTATTTATTATAAATCCTACTTCAAATTTACTATTCTTTTCATTTCCTTTATATTATAGTAGATATTGTTCTGAAGCTATTTATGTATTTATTTATTTATTAAGCTATTTACATCATCTACTTTAAAATGCATAGTGTACGTCTAAATTGTCAATATAAATGAGTCAAATAAAATTAAATTATTAGAAGAATTTCTCACTATGTAACAAAAAACAAAAATTTGTTTAATTTACTGTTTGTATTTTGAGAACGATTTCCGAAGTAGAAATTGAAACGTCAATAAACGTCTTTTTATCTTTAATTGTGGCTTATTCCCAGTTAAATAATAATTAATATAGTAGATTTCCAGATTTTAGCTGTATTCGGTTTTTTTCTTTTCGTCGAGTTTCTGAAAGGCCTATGATATCCCATGTTTGTTAATTCTTCTTCCAGTTCATGTTCTTTTTCATCTGTGGACATTGATCTAATATTGCATGTCCCTATTGACAGGTTGACGGATTTTTGTGATTTATGCTGTGCTCCTCTTAGTGGGTTTTTGTTTTTATCTATCAACAGCGAATTATTGCCTCCACCAGATACCATGAGGCAGACCTTTGAGGTGTGGGATTCAGAAGTTTTCTTACCCACCTGGGGACCATATCCTTTTGTTTTATTATTCGCCATGATAAAAGTGGGGGGAGGTAATGGCAGTTAAAACACCACGCTTGCCAAGAGGGTTGGTGAGTGAATGATCAGCCGCCCATTCTGGGTCAGACGCTGTATTTTACGGTCACATTAATTAGGTTGTATTTTTTGAATAATTCTTCTTTCACAATTTTTAGTTGTTTTTAATTCATAAGTTAAGCGATTATAAAATGTTTTATCCAATACTTCGCTTAGTGTAAAGAATATGAGGTAAAAAGAAAAACACATTAAACATTGATATAACAGTATATTAAGAATTATTAACGGGTAATAAAATAGTTTTTATCATTTCTTAGCATATCAAGTCCAGTTATCCAGTCCGCGGCTTCTAGAAGAATATGTAGTGCTAAAAATAAAACAATCAATATTTTATATTTTACAAAAACAGTTTTTTCTTATAGATACTAAAGTATAACGGAGTCCATTTGTATATAAAATAACTGTTGTCTAATTATAATCTAAAATAACTAATTTTACTAACTTCATTATCCACTGTCTTTTGAATGCACTTTTGCATCTCCCACACCTTCTGGACATGATTTTTGTTAGCTGAAATACAAAAATTTAGTTAGGTTAAATTAAAGGATCACAAATCATTACTAGTAATTCGTTTGTAGGAAAAAAATATAAATATTGTATAAAATATAATATAAATACTAACGCAGTTGTCTAGCGTCAGTGTTACATTTCATATAGTGGACAACATCAGCTTTGTGCATGTCAGGTATATAAACCCACAGTTGAGTTTGATTCATTTTCATATCAATGTCCATCTAAAAAGAAGTTATTAATGTAACTAACCAATGAGACAAAATAATTTGAATTTTTACCTGACCACCAAGATTCCAAATGCAGTAGGTGTACCTCTAAAACAAAAGTAAAATTTAGTTTACATTTAAAATATAAATAAATAATATGACTATAAAGAAATTTAAAATAGTCCAATATAAATTTTTGGAAAGTAAGAAACAGAAGCTCAATGTAATGGTGGAAAAATATTCAGTTAAACCAGGTTGTGATTCTGAATGCCTTCACAAGTATTCTCAAAAAGTTAGTGAGGAAAGGAGGCAGTTTTTGAATGAATCTTTTTGAATTTGAAATATGAATAATCAAAATGAAATAAAATCTTTCATTCTTTAACATGTATCAAATTTATCTTTAAAGCAAAGAACCGTTGTTTCTCAAGGTGAAAAGTTTAAAAGAAACAACTCATTTCCTTACATATTGAAAAATCAAAATAGAGAATCTGTAATAGTGTGTAAAGTTTTTTTATAAGTACTTTGGGCTATGACAAAGGTCATGACAAAGTATTCGGGAACATTTTTAAAAGCAACAGAAACTTTGTAGCTGCTCAAAAAGAATCAATATGCCTCACAATAAGATTAAAAGCGACCTACTCAAACAGCACATCAATTCTTTTGGACCCTCGATCGCTTTATATCACAGGGAGCATGCTTCTAATAGTTTATATCTTACCAGCGTATTGAGCTTCACCTGTATGTTTAAAGACTTAAAAAAATTCTTCTTTTGTGTGTTAATATGACAAGTGTAGAAAAGTAGCTAAAGACATATATCAATTGTTACACTTGGCCACAAGGAGTGTGAGTTTTGTCGGGAATTTAATGAACATGACAAACCCCATAACAAAGAAAACCGGGATGCGAACTGCACTACATGGAAAACTCACAAGGAAAAGTCCAATAAATCAAGAAAATTATATACTAAAAAAAATGAAAAGGAAGAAAATGTAAAATCCATAGTTTATTGCGCAGACATGGAAAAAGTAATTATGCTTTCCAAGCTAGAGATGTTTAAATCTGCCATATTTACATATAGAGTATCTTTGTACAAAGAAACATCTGTACCAGTGGGAAAAAAGCAAAAACATTGCAAAAGTTTTGCTGCTGTATGGCACGATGGCCTGTTTGATGGGACCAAAGACAAGTTAGTCAGTATTTTTAACCAATTTCTTTTGTTATAAACGGATGTGGAAAACATAACAATATGATTAAATAACTATTCATCTCAAAACAAAAACTGGTCTCTATTTTCTGCTTTGTTGTACCTAATAAATTCAGATGAAACACTTAACAAGTATTTTTTAGATATTTTGGACCAGGCCATACATTTATGGTCGCAGATTCATTCAATCACAGAGTGTCATGATACAGCTATCCATGGCACGCATATGGAACAGATTGTATGACTTTACAGACTGCGGTCAAAAATGCATCAATTGGAACTCATGTTCATGTCTTGGACTTAAAAACATTTCTTGTTTGGAATGACTTTTTATCTCAATACAAACTCAACAAAATTGTACCACGACCGTACCTGCATGACATGGTAGAGATAGTTTTTTAAGAAGTAAACAGTCAATTAAATACAAAAATAACTTTGACGAAAAGGAGTACAAGAAAATTAATTTTCTAAACTCAAAAATTATAAAAAACCACATTTCCTCAAACCATAGTCCCAAGTTACTTATAAAGGAATATCTACTAAAAAGAAGAACCATATAATCAAAAACCTAGGAATCATAGGAAAACCACAGATAAAGTTTGGGGAAAATCTTCCAGTGTCTGAATAAAACACAATTGTTAATTTGTGGAAAAGTTTTTTTGCTTTAACTAAGTGTTTAAAATATTAAATAGGGGTTGTTTAATAAATTTTTCAATTTTATAAAAAAAAGTTTTGCTATTTATTCAAATCTTTAGTGAATTCAACCTATTGTTGGTTTCTGTACTTTATTAATTATTTTGGTAAATGTGTTTAGGTTTCAAGTGTTCAGAAAACTCCTTTAAAACTAATTAGAGGGCAATATATTAATTTAGGGTCTTTTATAAAGGAAAAAACTGTCACGTAGCATACCTGTAAAGCATCATCCCCTTCGGGAAAGGTTCCATTGTAGACCTTATCTATTTGAGCTTCTGACGCACCTGTTATCCTCCTGCAAATCGTATGCCATCTGTCAACGTGTTTAAGAAGTTCTTTGCCGAAGTCCTTAAATAAGTAAAATATTTAATTACTGGGATAGTAAAATTATCGACTTTCATAGATCTACTTACCTTTTTCTCTAATCTGGATATGGTTGAGTCAAACCAGCAAATCAACAAAATTCCTACTAATATTGCTCTCATTCTTGGTTATTTTGTATTCCTTGAACCTATAAAACATTAGTTCTCTTAAATTTATTATTTGACAAATCGAAACTAATAACATTGTGCACAAAAACTAAAAGAAATAAGTAACATATTTTAAAAAACGAGTTTCCACTGTGCTCGTTCACAATAATAACAAAGTTATTGTAAATGAGCATGAAATAATAAAACAGTGACATCTGTATATATCAGAGCTGTTTGAAGTTGATAGGAATAATATTGCCGAATTCTATCAAAACTGTAGATACTGACGGCCAGAATTATGTGGTCCAGATGATACACCAACTGAGTTGCTAAAACTAATAGAAGATGATAACATAAAAGTAATAGTAAGACTTTTTAATTCAATATATAGATTGGCTCAAAACCATCGAAATTTTATTGCCAACAGGAACATTATATATGTGAGATAGGGGTAACCTTACAGTCAAGAGAAATAAGATAAAAAGTACCTTGTTGGGGAAATTGACTGACCCAGGGTCTGACAAGTATTTTGATTTTTATGGACCACAATAACCAAAACCTCTATGTTTCCTGAAGTGGATTAGGTGAAGTTTTTAAATAAGTAACAATTTATTGTCAAAAATGCACCATTTAATTTTTTGAACGGATTTGGAGGAGATTACTTAATAAAATACGTTTTAAGCTTTAAAATGGCGATTTAGAAATCGTGAGTTACTAATTTGTTGCTTAGAAAATTGTAAAAAATAAACTTACGTCATATTAAAGGCTTAACCAGGCTCAAAGAACCGATATAAAGCCTCGGAAACAGACGGAACTTAAGATGACGAACGATGCAAAGAAAAAGAAAACGAGAAAGAAAAATAAGCCCACAATCAGATTAACAACATGGATAATTACTTCTTTGAACAACAAAGACCAATAGATAATAGAAGAACTGTTAAATAAAAGCATAAACATTTGTGCAATCCAAGAAACCAAGAAAAAAGGTAAAGGGCAAAGAGAATATAACCAGTATTAGCTATAGTGGAGTGAAAAAAGAAGAACGATCACGAGCAGGTGTAGGTATACTTGTCCATATAAAATTTAAAGATAAAAAAAAGAACTGCCGTTATATTTTAAAAAAAATAATACATATGAACATCACAATGGACTACCAAAAATTAAATGTCATATTTATCTATAGCCCTGAGGACTGCAAATCTAAGGAGGAGTGAGAGACATTCTACAAACAATTGCAAACCATCCTGGATGACATACCTCATGAAGAGCCCTTAATTCTAATGGGTGACTTTAATGCACTAATCGAAAATGAAATAGTTTCAAAAGTAAAACAAAGATTTACAATTTACAAAAAAATCTCGAGACAACTATAGAAGAATACGAAATGAAATAAAGCAGTTGGTAAGAAGAACAAAAAATGAGCACTGGGAACAGTTTACAAAAAGGATGGAAAGCGACTTCTACGGTACACAAAAACAAATACAAAGATTTAAAAAAAAATTATCGAAAGAAATGGCAGAATTAAAGGAATACAATAGCATACCAGCAAACGAATGGGAAAGATGCCTGACGGAACTGTTTAAAGCAAAGAAAATTGATAATCAACACAATACTGTACCTGAATTAAGACACGAAATAGAAATCAGTTTTCAGGAAGTAAAAATAGCTATAAATTCACTCAAGAATAGATAGTCACCAGGACCCAGATGGAATAACCAACGAGCTTCTAAAACATAGAGGAAAAAGTATAACCCTGGAGATGACAAGATGCAAGATACCAGACGCATGGAGAAACAGCATAATGATACCAATGTTCAAAAAAGGAGATAAGGAAGACCCCAACAACTATAAAGGTATAAATCTACTGAACACCGCACTTAAGCTTACTACAAAAGTCCTAACCAACAAAATCAATAAACTAACAACTTTATCAGATGAACAACAAGGATTCAGATCCGAAAGATCCTGTGTAGACGCCATATTTGAACTAAGACAAATCACAGAAATGACCATCGAGTACTATCAACCACCATATCTATGTTTTATAGACCTGACAACGGCTTTTGATCGCATCCAAGTCGAAGAATTCTTACACCTACTTCATAAAAGAAACACACTAATTAATATTATACAAATCATCGAAAATATCTATCTCCATGATTGATTACAGGCAAAGATAAATGGAAAACTAACACAGTGTATACCAGTACAAAGCGGAATCAGATAGGGTGACTCGTTAAGCTCACTTCTATTTAATATAATAATGGACGAAATAATACAAGCAGTACAGAAAGGTAATGGCAACATAATGAAAAACAAAGAAATCCAAATAATATGTTATGCAGACGACGTCGTATTAATCGCCGAAACAGAATACGAGCTCCAAAGATTAACACATATCTTCAATACAACAACTAAGAAATACAATATGATAACATCAGCAGAAAAAACCAAATGTATGACAACATCTAAATACCCACTATGGTGTAAAATCGAAATTGAAGGGAAAATAATAAAGAGAGAAAAGCGAAAACATAAGAAAAGCATGCAATAGAAGACATAAATGGATGGGTAACAAAATAAAAACAGGGGTGGAATGAACACATTAGTAGAATGGCAGAGAATGGGATCGTATGAATAGCACGAGATAAGTCAGCAAATTGACGAAGAAGTATTGGCAGACCAAGAACAAGATGGTGCGACAATTTAAACAATTTAGGAGGCTAATATTGAAGCAGAAACACGCTTTAAAGCCTACATACAAAGAAGAAGAAGAAGGGATAGTCATATTAAAGCATTATATGTGTTTTATTAAATAATTACCTCCCTTAAAGTGTTAATTGTTTAAAAAAGTCAAAGTTTAAAAAAAAATTCAGTTCACCGAACATACTGCAGAACACACAGAGATTTGGGTTTTCGACCTTCATAAAACTCAAAAAATTGTCAGATACCTACTTAGCTAAGTGGATTCGCTTAACTATAATGAAATTTGCTAAAAATCAAGAAGGAACAATATAATGCAAAATTGACAAGTAATTTTGATATGATAAATGAAATTATAATAAATTCACTATATGTGTTTAACAATAACAACTATGTAACACTGTCTAAAAACAAAAATATAAAGAAAGTTTTTATACCACACAAAAGAAGTAGGAAACAATGAGCCCGCTCTATATTGTGAATGGTTATATACCAAAAATTATAATTAACTTTCTAATTATAAAAAATATAACCTAGAATAATATATGAGAAATAAATTCAAATATTGATAGTCGATCATTATTTTAGTTGTATTTGATATTTAATTCATGTGGGTAATGATACCTATCGGCGATGTATGTTACATATTTTATCAAGGTACAAAAAACACGTTAATTAAGCCCTTAATGAGAAATCATTTTATAGAAATATGTAACAATTGTTACGTTAAAAGTTTTCAACGATAAAGACAAATCATTAAAACTGATTAATGCGTTTTTAATTTTTTTACTTTAAATATAAAAGTTTTATGATTATATATTGCATTTTACGTAATTGTTTGTACAATATAGTCCAAAACTAATTCTTCTTTCTAAAGTCCATTTTACGAATGTTTTTTAACCAAGAAACCTAATTTCTTCATACACCAATACAGCCGTCTATTTTGTCTTTGAAGATCAATTGCCATATTCAATATAGCTTCCATCAGTGAATTGCAGCTACCTTTAGTCTAGATTATCGCGACGGTTGCCCGTTCTGTTATAAACTCAAATGCCTAAGAAAACAAAAAACAAACAACCCTTCTTACCTTGTAGAAAACAACCAAATTATAAATTCAAACCAAGAGAAGGTCAAAATCTTCAAAACTCACCTACAAAACACCCTACTTAGCCCCAATGAACCTAGATTTGGCCACGAGTTCCATGCAAGTATTGAAAAAGACATACCAGGACGACTCGCCACTCCCTTCGACCCACAGGAACATCATGATCATCCTATCACGGCACCTGGATCAACAAACTCTCAAAAATTTTTGCCCAAATTTACCAGGACCTGACAATATTTCCAGGAACTGCGTGAAACACCTCCCACCGAGCGTCACTCTCTACCTGACGAACATAGTCAATGCCACTCTTAGATTCTGCAACTTTCCATCTCCATGGAAGCTAGCCAATACAATTAAGCTCTTAAAAAAGGGCAAACCCCGCACCGATCTACACCCTTGTAGGCCGATTTCACTACTAAACGTTCTAGCTTAAGCCTTCAAGGGGATCCTCAAGGAGAAACAAGGAGAACATAGTATAATTTCATCATTTTAATTCAGCGTTAGAGAAGGTCACCCCACCAGAGATCGTCACACATCTTACACAAAGTATAAACGACGGTAAAGGCTCTTTAGGCATCTTGCTTGATGTTCAAAAAGCCTTTGACCAAGTCTGGTATGCTGGACTCGCCTAGAAACTGTTGAACATCGGCCTACCCCTCTGCTTCGTTAGAGTTATCTTATCATATGTCTCTCAACGTCTAATCACGGTGAAAGTGCAAGGACATGTCTCCGACTTTTTGGCACCCATAATATACACAATATACAACAATGACTTCACCAATCCACGATACACCAAAATAACCACTTTGCTCTAGGCAGACGATACAGCTCTCGTAAAAACATTACGAGACGTAAACACAGTACTTAGATGTGCTTAAAATCACCTTAACCTGGTCGACAGGTTGTGCAGGAGATAAAGAATAACCTGTCGAATATCCAGCCCATGCATGAGAGGCTCTCCTTTCTGAGCAATCAAAACGATCCGTGACCAAAACTTCAAAGCCCAAAATATACTGAAAACTACCTGCTCATTCATTAGCAATGTATTAAAAAGAAAACCTAAAACCATACTCCCCTTCTCACCAACAATATTACTGGCCCTTGCCAGCAACGAACTCCCTGATGAATACATTGATATCGTGGAGGCAACTCCGTTCTACTACCGTCGCACAAATCAGTAAATTCTTACTTCAAGATTGTCTAGACAGAGAGGAATCGGTTTTCTATGGTTTCCCGATCCCATGGCACAATGAGACCTGTCTATTACAATGGACACAGCCACAGGTGACGTCACGTGATCCGTGATTCACTACATTTATTAATAAATTGGATACATATAAATTGACTAACTCATAAACATATTTTTTAGCAAAAATTTTTTGAAAAGATCCGTTAACTCAACAACCCTTTCGCCTTTGATTGTCCAGAACGCTCCTCCGCCGACAAGCTCACGAAACGAAACAACAGTAGAACGCACACAGCCAGAGAAAAAACACCAATCAAACAAAAACAAACCACGTCCTGAAAAGAAGCAAAGTGTATAGCAGGACACGAAAACACGAAACGAGGAAAATCCAACCAACAGCGAAGAACACCCAGACAATGCAAGTATAGATAAAGTTATGTACTTTTGATTTAACTTTTAAAAAATCATTTATTTTCAAAATTGTACGTAATAAGTTTTTTTACTTGAAAAATATAATATAATTAAATTACAAACGAATTGATCTAAAAGTTATAAGCGAATGATGACAAAAATATGAAAAATGATTTTGTTGTCCCGGTTTCGTTGGAATTTGCTCACTTTGGATTCCGCCTTGATTCAACGTTCAAATGGGTGTTAGTCTGGGTATCTACGGCTACAGTTTTATAGTAATTTTTCCTCACTGTATGTCCCAGATAAAATATTTTATGTCTCGTAAGTGATTAACAGTCTTTCGCAATTCTTCATCTTTGTTGATCCTTTTTAGTACTTCCTCATTAGTTTTGCTTCATGTCCAAGTTTTCTTTATGATACGTCTATGAATCTGCATTTTAAATGCTTCAATTCTGTGCATGCTTGATACGTTTAGTTTGCAATTCTGCTGCATGCAAAAGTTCAAAACAAATATAGCACTTGACCATTCTTTGTCTTAGTTGTAAACTAAGGTAATTATTACAAAGAAATGTCTTTATTTTTATAAAAGTAGTTATATTCATATCGTCAGAAGAAAGATAAGAAAAGCCAAAGAGAAACAAAAATCAGAACAACGTTAATAAATAGAGCAGTATCAGAGTCGATTCATAATTTCAATGTTCATCAAAAGGTAAAGGAAATAGCTGGAAAGTTCCAAAAACACAACAGCGGAAAAATAACTGATGATGAAAGCCATTTTTTCATAACAAAAGAAGATAAAAGAGTATAAGAAAAATAATTGGATAAACTTTTTCACGACCTTAGAACAATAAAACAACCCACCACTGAAGACATTTCAGTTCCCGAAATCCTACCAGAAGAATAAGGACAGCCGTCAGACAAATAAAAGATGGAAAGGCACCGGGACATGATGAATTTCCAGCAGCTGCTTGAACTGCTGAAACCATTAGATGAAGTAAAAACAAAAATATTAACTGAAATATTTAATGAAATATACAAGGCAGTAAAAACACTAGTAGAGTGGCTCAAATCGGAGTTCGTACCATCGCCCAACAAAACAGGAGCAAAAGTGTGTGAAGACTATAGAACCATAACCTAATAAGCCATCTGCTAAAGCTGCTTTTAAAATTCATTCACAACGGAATTTACCGGAAATGCGAGGAACAAATTGTGCCCAATTTGTTTGGATTTGTGAACGCCGTTGGTACGGGGGAAGCTTAATTTAGCCTGCAAATATTCAGAAATGTAGATATATCAGATGTGATGTTTTTGCATACCTGATTGACTAGAAGAAAGCTTTCGATAGAGTGGCATGATCAAATGATGAAAGTACCGAAGAGGACAAGGAATGATGGAAAAGATCTAAAAATAATAGCTAACTTGTATTGGAATCACTCAACGGTGCTCCGAATAGATGGAATAGATGAATGAATAGAAATCTTTAGGAGAGTGAAACAAGGGTACCTAATTTACCACTGATATTCAATCTGTACTCGGAGTACATTTTTGAAGAGGCTCTAAAAGACATTGATAAAGGCATCTCAATAAATGGAGTCAAGCTCAATAACCTGTGGTATGCAGATGATACAATAGTGTCTCTTAATACCACAGAAGGGCTGCAAAACGTAATGAACAAAGTAAGGGAAACAAGTAGAACATATCGACTAGATATAAACACGAGTAAAACCAAGCTAATGATCATCAGCAAGGAAAACATATCTGGAGCAAATCTGTATGTGAACCAAAGGAGAATTGAACGTGTATCATAGTACAACTACTTGGCAACTATAATCAATTTCTGTACGGAGTAAAAACTTGGACATTGAAGGCGAAAACTCTTCTGTACTGTAAGCTCCAGTAATGAAGTGAACCAAAAGGAGAATAATGCATGTTTGTTTGGAACGCCACGGTTTTATGAGGTTAGGCATTACTGCTGCAAAAAAATGCTGGAGTGATTCTCACAAACTGGCTCCACGCCGACTTTGTTGCAATACCTAAAAACACAATGCTAGAATGAGCCACACTGTTAAGATTTTCCTCTAAATACTCCACAACAAAATTCGACGCAAATGCAAAGATTTTAAAGATACCCAATTTGGTTTTAAAAATGCCATGGGAACTAGGGAAGCAAATTTGCTCTATATATTATATTACAAAAAATGTCAATGTGATCAAAGAAAAGATGTATTTGCATGCTTCGTCGACTCAATAAAATACAGCCTATGTCATTAAAAATCTGTACTGAAATCACACTGCTATCGTAAAAATTGGAGACAACTACAGCGAGGAAATCTCCATACAACGAAGAATCAGACAAGGTTGCATTTTGCATACTTATGAGTTCCTATAATCTTTGTGATTCAGTGACTGGATTATGTCTACTGGAATTTGCACATTACTTCTAACCAGGTTTTCATTATATGTAGATGAGAGTGCTTTATTTTTAATACATCCAAACAGGATTTGATTGACACACATTGGAAAATATTATCGCATAAACATGTTCCTGATTCTAGAAGGTTTAATTTAGCCAGGTGAGCAGAAACAGCATCGTGACTAGTTTTTAATCTCGTGATAGTTGCTGCTGATCGTTTAAATATATTATAATGGAATATGTGTGGTAATTCTGTTAGGGATGGTAACGTACGATAAATCTTGTAATACTGATTATTTGAAGTATTCGCCAATATTTTCCATCTGTCTTGCCAGTTAAAATTTATTTTTTTTTATAAAAATTGATTAGATCTGATGTTGTGTACATCATATGTTCTTGTATACCAGAATGAGTAGAATCCTTAGCGAGCTCGTCTACTACTTCATTACCTTTTATTCTAGTGTGATCTACCCTAATAAATGTTACATATTTTGTTTCTCATTTTTTGTTTAATGTCACATATCAGCTCACATGTCTTATGGTTAAACTCAGTATTATTAAGTCCACGAAGAGCTGACTTAGAGTCTAAGATGATCACAGACAGCATCTTGTAAATTTTCGAGAGCTTTTCTAGTAGCTACCGCTTCTGCAGTGTCAATATGAAGGAAAATTTTAATTGATTGGTTATTGGAAGGAATTTACACTGCAAACCCTACCTTCCCATCGTTCTGTTAGGAGCCATATTTGTAAATTATAGTTTTATTAGTATATTCACTTAATATGGAGTCCAACAACTTGTTATTCATTTGATGTGAGTCTGAATATTTCGGAAATATAATATTTGGTTTTTTGAAGATCGTATTAAATTTTATTTATTATCATCATCTTTGGCTCGACAATCCTCTGTGGATCTTGGCCTGCTCTAAGATTCGTCGCCATTCTGTTTGGTTTTTGGCAACATGTTGGCATCTTCTGATTTTTAATATTCGTAAGTCGGTTTCTACTCCATCTAACCACCTAATTCGAGGTCGGCGTTTGCTTCTTTTTCCTACAGGTGTTCCTGTGGTTAGCTTTTTAGCAATGGTATTTTCTGGCATTCGTATTATGTGTCCAGCCCATCCAAGTCGCTGTGTTTTAATGAACGTTATGACATCTGGCTCATCAAAGAGCTGATACAATTCAAAATTATATCTTCTGCGCCACTGCCCTTGGTCGTTTACAGCTCCAAATATTCTGCGGAGTATTTTACGCTCAAATATTCCCAAAAGTCTTTCATCTTTCTGCGTTAGTGTCCATGTTTCTGCTCCATATGTGAGGACCGGCCTCAGCAATGTTTTGTATATAATAATTTTAGTTCTTCTTTGAATGTTTCCTGAGTGGAAATGCTTTTGGAGTCCATAGTATGCCTTATTTGTAAGATTTATTCGTCTTTTGATTTCTTTGCTTGTTTTATTGGTAGCAGTCAATAGCGACCCAAGGTATGTGAAGTTGTCAACACGTCCAAAGGTATAACTTCCAAAGACTGTTTCTCGTTCCTCATTTGCTATCGGATCCTTTGTAACCAACATGTACTTGGTTTTGTCTTCGTTGATGACTAGACCGACCTGTTTCGCCGCTGTTTCCAATTCTAGGAGATATTGCTCAACATCTCGCTTGCTACGCCCTATTATGTCAATGTCATCAGCATATGCTAAGACTTGTATCGATCTATTGTAAATAGTACCGCCGTCCCTAATTCGTGTATCTCGGACTGCCTTTTCTAAGGCAATATTAAATAGGAGGCAAGCCAGAGCATCTCCTTGTCTGAGTCCATCCTTTATCTCAAATGATCTAGAACTCTCTCCCTGTATTCTAACAGTGGCTTCTAAGTTAGACATTGTCATTCTCGTTAGTCGGATAAGTTTCTCTGGTATACCAAACTCATGCATTGATTGGTATAGCACTGTTCTCTAGTCACTGTCGTATGCTGCCTTAAAGTCGACGAATAGGTGATGGGTTTCAATATCGAATTCTAATGTTTTCTCGAGAATCTGTCTTATTGAATGAATCTGGTCAATTGTTGATTTTTCTGGAGTGAATCCAACTTGATATTTACCAACTATGCCCACTGTGTAAACTTGCAACCTTTCGTAGAGAATATTTGCTAGTATTTTGTAAGCAGTTGTTAACAGGGTTATACCTCTATAGTTATCACACTGGAGCTGGTCACCTTTTTTATGTAACGGGCATATCACGCCTTGAGACCATTCACAAGGCATGGTCTCATTATGCCAAACAAGAAGTAAAAGCTTATGCAGTGTCTGTAGGAGGGCATCGCCACCATTCTTGTAGAGCTTACTGCAAATTTGATCAACTCCTGGTGATTTATTATTTTTAAGCTTTTTAATGGCTTGGGCAACGTTTTCGATGGTAGGTGGTCTTTCGTTTGGGTTAAAAGGATTCCAATCATTTCGATTCGCTAGAGTGTTATCTGCTTCTTCGATATGATGGCCATTAAATTTTGCATCGAAAAATTCAACCCATCTGTTTAGGATTGAGGCCGTATCATTTAGGATGTTTCCTTCTACATCCTTACAGCTCCTTATTCTTGGCTTAAACTCTTTGCGCATTTTGTTTAGATGTCTGTAGAACTTTCGAGTTTCATTTTGATTTCTTAGAAATTCTGTGCTTTCCAATTGCTTTTGCTCAAATTGTCTTTTTTTTCTTCTATGTAATCGTTTTTCTTCTCTTCTTAGTGTCTAATTCTTAGTATCTAAATTTTATTTATAGAATGATATAATTAAAATTGTTAAAAGTGTAACCGGTAAATCATTGGTTTTCAGAAAGACATCCGATAATGGCGTTGAATTTTTTATTCTTCAATAATGGTTTACTAGATTTTATATAGAGAGTTTTGTGTTTGTTGGGTTTGATTAAAAGACATATAATTGTTTCTGTTATTTTGTCAATCTGATTTTCTTCCAGAAGCCAATCAATAAATATTTTAGTAAACGTAGCCTTCGCGGGGAAGTGGTTAGTTATTGAATAAGTGATATAGGTAATCTTTTTCGGGCGCAGCAGATTTTTATATTTTAATAGTTTAATAGTTGCTTCCAGTTCTTGGATATTTATCGAATTTTCTAGTAATTTAAATTTACTAAAACTGCATATTGTTACGTGTCTTAGAGTTGTGTGCTGGAATCGATAGTGTCTACATCGAATTTACGATTATTAACATAATGATTGTTGAATTATCCGTTCTACTGTGCGTACTTATACTCCAGTCTCTTATGTTGTTTAATATTGGTTATTATCTTCAGGATTAGTGCTTCTATATAGATTTAAAGACTTTGGACACTACTTATTTACCTCTACTGCATGCTAATTCAAGTGTCCTCCTTGGACCTACTAGATGTAAGAGCATGTAGAGGTGCTAATATAGACTCTGACCACTACCTTGTAAGAACAAAACTCAGGGCTCGTATATCAGACGCTAAGAAGGGGCAAAGCACAAAACCTACGAAATATAATACTGATGTGCTAAAATCTGGAGACGCTAGGGATAACTATAGGAAAATTTTAAATGAAAAGCTGACAAGACTAAATTAATACTACTAACTATTACTCTTCCTTGTCTTTCTTCTTGTCTTCTTGTCCTGAAATAACCTACATTAGAATGATTTTAGGTTTTCAGGTTTTTTTAGGAATCTTAGATGGGTTAAATAAAAACTAGTGGCTTTTGTTAAAACTTTATATTTCAAAATACTGCTGAATAACATATTGTCATGTGTCGTCATATACTGTCGTAGGAAATACCAAAAGATTTTGGAATTATTTAGAAGAATATATAGTGCTAAAAATTAAAAAATTTAATTAAATATATATATATATATTTTAAGATAATAAATAATAATGCATTTTCAGCTTTTAAGTAGCTGAAAAATATAATGTAAAATAGAAAAAACTTACTTTATCATCAACAGTTTTTTGAATGCATTTTTGCATCTCCCATATTCTTCTTATGTGATCAACAGCTGAAACATTATAAAATGTATTTCTGATATTTATTTGGTATATTTTAATGTCAATAAAGCGAATATATACAAAAGTGGTTCTCTGTGTTAAGTAAATAGTTATTTTGAAAAATAACATCCCAACAGTCTTAATCATAGCTTGGAAAAAAGAAGATCTATTTTTTTCGATTTCATGGACTAAGTAAATATTTTGCCACTAGCTTTCTGTTTATGGTTTCTGAATTGAACTTATTCTTCACTTCTATCTTTTTATAGCTGCAAAAAACCTCAAAAGGTTTAGTTTTTGTTTTCTCTCTGGATGTAGGCTCTCGATTTACGTTTAGAAAAACTATTAATATATGGATATATGGATTTATATATGAAACGTCTTTAATAAAGGATGAAGTAGCAAGACGTTTAGTTTTCTTCTTTAATTTAGTATTACACTTGAAGTTTTCACGGAGCTTTATGTACTTTCTGAGGTTTTTCAGGTATTACTACAAATTTCATAAAAGTTCTTCACAATAATACTTAGGTTGCAGAATATTTCGCAGATTTAGAAATATACATGCCACTTCTGTATCTGTATCTGTAGAGTAGGGAGGGCGAGTTAAGTTTCACAGCACTTAGGCCACAATTGACCCATTGTGCATCCTCCCAGGGAGCTGTCACCCTTAGCTCATTGTCGATCCTGCCATTTCTAGAAGGTGGACAAGTCACCAGAAGACATTTCACTTATGTGGGCAGTGTGGCCAGGACTCGCCGAACGCGTACTCTCGTATTAACGATAACTCTGGACATTAACATAGGACATGCTCTACAGTTTCTTCTTCTCGTTCATACTTCCTACATAGAGGTGTGTCTACTAGCCCCAGTGTGTGCAGGTGTTTGCTTAGTTGACAATGACCAGTTAAAAAACCAACTGCCAAACGTAGATTTTTCCTGGTCATTCCCAAGTACTTCTTTGAATGTTGACTCTTCAAGGTTACTTAGTGTTACCCTGGCAAGTTTACATCCTTTCCCTTCTTCCCATCTTTTTACGGTTTGCGTATGGGAGTGACATTTGACAATTTCCGCGAGTGTTGTAGTTTAACAACCAAAAATATCCCCAGGTCCTAAGAGTCTTAGGCCTGCCGCATTCCTAGATAGATTGGTCAGCAATGCGGTTGCCAGAATGATGGTATTACCATCCGAAGCTTGAGTTAGTGACTCGTGACACTCCATTACTAAACCTGATGTGACACGTAGTCTATTCAAAGTTAGTAGCGCTTGTCTGCTATCTGTGCAGATCATTATAGTTTTTTCTGCTTTACCTTTTATGTATGCCACTTATTAGATCAATAGTTTATACCACTACCATGAGGTCCATATTGAAAAAAATATATACTATCCACAATACTCGTTCTTTTTACATAGAACACGCCCAGTAGAAATTTTATACGTTTTTTTTTAAGAATTTTCCCAAAGAATTTGTTAACGGTTCTTATATTTAGTGTACTCCTAGTTTCAACACATCATATCCAGTGATATTTGTTTAAATATCGTTTAAATAGTAGTTTATATCATTTTTTGGATTGGCATTTATAATCATTTAACGAAGAAAATATTTAGATAAAAACCCTTTATTATTTAATAAACTTACGCTTTTCTCTGGCTTCGGCATTACATTTCAAATAATGAACAGCATCAGCTTTATGCATATCAGGTAAATAGTACCTTAGCATTTTTTCGTCCATTTTCATTTTATCTCCCATCTAAAAATGTTTTGTATCCTTAAATTGTTATATTGAAAGAACAATAGATATAAAGTTCTTAAAGAGTGAATTCAGGCAAAGCCCTAGGTTATATATCTATTTCCAATTCGTAATTTATAATGCGAGAAAAGATAGAGCAACCGATAAAAGGCAAAATTGGGGAGTATCAGGTCTTCACGGCAGGATGATCATGCATATACCACATATATACACTGGAACAATTGTTGGATAAGAAAAAAGCAAAAAATAGATATATACATTTTACATTTGTGGACCTGAGAAAGGCGTATGACTCTGTACCAATGTCAGAACTATGGGAGGCAATTTACAAATTATAAATACAGACAGAACTTATAGAAGCTACAAAAGCTCTGTATAAAGAAAACAGAGTGTCCATTAAAATAGGAACAAGAATCATAGAAAACTTCTTCACAATTAAAGGGCTTCTGTAGAGTTGTTCCACATCTCCAACGCTATTCAAAATATACTTAGAGAAAGCCTTGACTACATGGAAAAGAAAATGTGGAGGCATAAGAGTACCAGTACGAAACGAATACCCATATACGTTAAGCTTTGGAAACGATCAAGTAGTACTTGCACAAGATCAAGAAGACCTCAGTTACATGATGAAGAAACTACAAAAAGAAGGCCTAGATATTAACCTCGCGAAAACAGAGGAACTATCTACAAGTGAAGAAGACATAGAAGATCTACAGATTGACGACAACGTAACAATCAAAGGAAAGGATAAATTTAAATACTTGGGCTTTATAGTCACGAAAAAGGCAACAATACAGGAAGAAATTAAGCAAAGATTAGGAAAAACAAGAATAGCAATCCGACAACATAACTCAGTATAGTGAGATAGACACCTGAATGTGAAGACAAAAACACAGATTTATAAAACATTAGTGCAAAATATTATGATATATGGGGCTGAAAATTTGATTATTAACAACTTAACCAGCAGTAACATAGTAGCAACAGAGATGGAATACCTGCGAAAATACTGTAGAGTAACAAGAATGAATAAGAGAAGTAAGGACGAAATAAAGCAAAGAACATTAATAGAAACGGACATACTCACATATATAGAAAAAATACTAAAGTAATGTGGACATGTAAGAAGAACTAGCGACAGCAGATTGATACAGAGAATAACCGAATGGAGCTCAATAGGAAGAAGGAAAAGAGGACGACCCCGAAGATCCTGGAGGAACAAAGTAGACGATGCCATGAATAAGAATATGAATAGAGAGAATGGGACAACAGAGAGAGATGGAAACGGTTGAGCGAGGAAGGCAGTGAATACTGTAAAATACCTGAATATACATAATTTATATTGGCTATAAACTAAACACAAACGTGTTTTGTTTATAGCCATCAAAAGAGATAGTGCCTTTTGCAGCGATGCACCAAAAGTGAGAAATAAGCAGGGACATTTGCTAACCGTCTGTGTGTGAAATTGTATCTTTCCCGGATCACTGACGAGGCGGGTTTATGCTAAAATAAAGGTATAAGATAAAGTGACAGTGTGTGACAGCTAAGTGACAGCAAAGCTTTTGCTGAAATGTTAAATTTGTAATTTTCGAACAGCTCAAAGGGATAAAAAAACGATATTATTATACCGTGTTTCATTCATGACCATCAAAAGAAATGGTACCCTTTTTAGCAATCCACTACAAGTGGGAAATAAGCAGAAACATTCACTAACCGCCCTTGTATAAATTTTTATCTTTCCCGGAAGAGCTGGCGAGGCAGAGTTTATGTTGAAATAAGGTTATAAGATTCTAATAATACCGATTCGTACACAGAACCTTTAGCGAATTATACTCTTACGCCATATATATATGGCTTTTAAATACATATATACAGTATGATGCAAATGTATGGAATTAATTCATTATCTCAGAAACAGTAATAACGTAATAAAAGATTTTTCTAATTACAAACAGATGTCATGCGACAGCTCATTTTAAAGGTCTCCTTATCGTTTTTGCAACGATGTAATCAATTGAATATTTATTTCTACAGGGTTCACCAGAATTATGAACTTTGTTAAGTAACATAGAATTGCAATAAATATTCATTCACTGAACTAAAATACTTTAAACGTCACTGGGAATAAAACAAAATAGTGTTTTTTTGCTTTTTCCGAAAAAAGAATACATTGATAACAAACAATGCTACATTATAATCTAAAATTAATTATTGTAGTAAGTATTCCAAGTTATTTTTCAAAAATAGTTTCAAATTATATAAAAATATATATAATATATAAATCAGTCAAATTTTTACTCTTCGAGTTTTTTGCCGATATTAATAATAGCAGTTACAAAAACGAAACTAACAGAAACAAAACGAATCGAGATTTTAATCGTGATTGTTTATGGAGATAGTCTGAGGGCTCAACCAGAAGTTCGTAATTTATTTAATGCTAAATACCCCAATGACGAACCAATTACTCAATCAATAGTAAGTAAGATTTAAAAAAAATTATAGAAACCGGCGATGTTAAAGATCTTTCCAACAATGATAGAAAATCAATAGCCGAAGCCAAGAAACTGGACGTTGAACTGGCGTTTCAAGAAAATCCCCATAACTGTTCTAGGCAGGACGCACTAGATAATAATAGTCTTATAATAGTGCTAAAAAATAGGAAGTGACATCCATATAAAGTATATCTGGTCCAGAAGCTATTAGAAGATGACTTTTATAGAAGAATCGAATTCTGCGAAACCGTTATGAAAAAATGTAATAGAGATAAGGGTTTTATACAAAACGCACTTTTTTCTGATGAAGCATCTTTTATGCTGAATGGTCACGTAAATCGCCAGACGTATTGATACTGGGCAAGTGAAAATCTACATTTGATGGAAGAGTATAGGGCACAATATCCCGAGAAGGTGAATGTTTGGGCCGACCTATAAACAATCAAATTGTAGGGTATTATTATTTTTGTGGAAAACTTAAATGCTTCTCGTTATCTGGAACCTCTTCAGGAGTATCTGTTGCCACAGCTGAATCAGCTATTTTCAAATAGAAACAATTTGTGATACCGATATGATGGTGCTCCCCCACACTACGGCGTTGAGGTACGAAATTACCTCAATAACGTTTTTCCAGGTAAGTGGATAGGTAAAACGCGGCCCATCGAATGACAGCAATGTCTCCAGATTTACCTCCATTAGACTTTTTTGTGGGGATTTTTAAAGAGCGGAATTTTTAAACATTAGAACGGAAATTGCACAAATAACACGTAAAGTCATCGAAAACGTTAAAAAATAATTTATTGCCCATCTTTCACATTGTATTATTGCTGAAGGTTTAGCGCATTCACTTTTCAAATGAGCTGCCGTTTGACCTCGGTTTGTATTTAAAAAAATCGTCGACTACGTCATTACGCTGACTACTGATGACGTAATGTCCAACACATATACAGCAGCTGATGGCATCGAGCAAAAAGACAAAAGAGAGAATCTAATCGTTATGAAAAGGAGACCAAAAAAGTGGCCTCTGATGGCGGACATATCCGGAAATCCGAATGCGCCAAATTTAAATTTTCCAACATTTATTAACAGTAGCTATATAATATTTTAAGAATGTGTCTTAAACGAGAAAGTTTTAATAAATTATTAACGATAATAGTCTAAAATGCGACACAATTGTTAAAAAACTTCAATATAAATAAAATTTCATGTGGCATTTGGGACAAACAATAACATAACCCAACTAAATTTGATGTCAACCAATCAGAGAGACTCTCTTTCCTTGTTTAATGTGGCGTCTAAAGATCGCACTTCCTGTCTAACAATATTTTTGCCTTCACTACCTTTACATTCCCTTTTGTCCTTTTGCTCGATGAGTTGATGGCTATTCAAAACTTAAAATTGACGTGTTTTAAGAGTTTTTTAAGTCGTTTATTTCTGAAGTAATAAATTTTGTTTCATACATTTGCATTATACTGTATGTATACATGTGTGTGTGCATGAGTGTATGTGTGTATGTGTGTCAAGTATAAATACTTGTTTAATCCCATTTGATAAATATTGTAAAATAACTTTTTTACTTACAGGAAGGCCAATATTCCAGATGCAATAGGTATATCGCTAAAACATAATAATATTTTATAAAAATAAGCGTGGTCAAGTAATTGTACATTTTCAGATTTTGTTAGCATTTGTATTTGCATTATTACAGCATATTGACTAACATTTATCTGTTTTGTTTTTGTTGTATTATTGTTAACACCTCAAACCCAAATGTTTACTGCATAATTTAGATAAGTAATTTACAGTGTAATGATTGGGGATTCGAAAAAAAAAGGACCATGTCGCAACATAACGTACAATGAAAGTTATTTATCACATCACGTAGCGCTACAACCATGGATAGGTCTTGGCTGACTGTACAACTTTTTTCCTTTTGTCCGGTCTTCCGTCAACCTAGGGTCAAATGGAATGTTCATTTTCCGGAGATCTGCTTGGATGTTATCTCTTCATCGCATTCTGGGACGTCCTAGTGGTCTTTTGCACTGTGGAATCTTCTCCCATATCAGTTTTACAAGTCTCTCGTTATGCAGTCTGCCCATTTTAGTCCGCTGTGATTTAATTTCTTGGACAATATCGGCGTCATTGTAGAGTGCTTTGAATTTGACATTGGTTTTAACCTAATACTGGTTTGTGATGATGTCATGGCAAGGTCCAAAAATTTTTCAAGTATTCTTCATTCAAACATCCAACCTTTTCTTTATTTGCTTTGGTCATGCTCCTAGTTTCGCATCCGTATGTTATTACAGGTCTGACGCGGGATTTATTGGATTTTGATCTTTAAACTTCTTGTAAGATCTTTTGATTTTATACGCTTATCCAGTACACATAGACAGCGGTTTGCAGATTGTATTCTGTCTTTTATTTCTTCAGCTACGTCGTTGTCAGCTGTGATTACGGCCCCCAAATACTTAAAATGTTGTTCTTTTTCGAAATTGAAGGTGTTGACCGTCACATTTTGTCCTACTCTGTATCTTCGTGTCGTTATATTTATACACATATATTTCGTCTTCTTCATTAATCTTCAGCCCTACTCACTTGTTGCTCCTTCCACCTTGTTGAATATGTCATTTCGTGGTTAGGTGGAGTTTTTAACGTGATCTATGTCATCTGCATATGCGAGTAACAACTTGGAACCTTGAACCGATAGCAATTCTGTTTTTATATCGGCAGACCTCATGGCTTTCTCTAATACAAAGTTAAAAAGTATTGGAGATAACGCATCGACCTGTTTGAGTCCACTGTTGATTTCAAAGCTGCCAGACAGTTTACTATTTACACGTACTTTAGATACTCCACCCTCCATACAGAATTTCATCCGAATGGGTTCCTTTGGTATTGAGAACTCCGCCATGGTATTCCATAATTGGCTTCTTTCTACGCTATCATATGCCAGTCGAAAGTCTATAAAAAGATTGTGTATGAGTCTGTTATACTCCCGTCCCTTTTCTAGGATTCTAGGTATACTAAGAATGATGTTTAAGAGGGTTTTATATGCCGTGTTTGGGAGTGAAATTCCTCTATAATTCGCGCATTTTGTTTTGTCCCCTTTTTGTGGATGGGCACTACTATGTTTTCCTTTCATCGTGCTGGTATCCTTTCTTTTAAACATATGACTGTGCATTGTTAGCTAATAGATGTGGCGATGTAGTGCGTCTCCCCCATATTTCAGAAGTTTTGCTGGTATCTCGTCCGTACCCGGTGCTTTGTGATTTTTCGGCTTATTTAAGGCCTTTTGAGTTCTTTAAAGAAGAAATTGTTGACGGGCATGTCCACTGTAATATAGATCTCTTCTTTGTGCTGTTCTTCCTGTATGATATTTAGAAGGTCCCTAAAATACTCTTTCCATTCTTCAGTTACATTTTTACCGTCGATTATCATTACGGCCTTGGATTATCTCTTAGCGTATAGATGAAATTGGTTCTATGTCCTCTTTTCTCAAAGGAAATTGCTTTATAGAATTCTCTGGAGCCTGGTTTGAGCCGGTCTCTCTACATAGCTTTATATTTTGTTCATAGTTTCTTTTCTTTGTACATATTATTTTTCTTGTTTCTTTTCGGCAATCGTCATATTTCTTTTTACTTTGGTCTGTTTGCAGTTGTATCCATGTATTCCTTACTCTTTGTCTTTTTTCCAGCCGACATTCTCCGTCATACGGCATTTTGCCCTATTCTGCCTTCTCCTTCCAAAGATCTTTATTCGTGAGAAACTTTATTCGTGCGGTTTAAAATTTCTCGATGAAGGTTTTCGGTTTAGTAATTGTATCAGTTTTCTTTACTTAAGTAAGTAGATAGGACAATACTTGACGTTTCGAACAGATTACGAATCAATAACCCGATTAGGAAATAAACAGGCAGTAATGGTTTTTCCATAATTCCGTAGAAGATACATTTTTTTTGAGTTGCTGGAACCTTCTAATTTGTAAAAATTATACGAAAACTTTTGTAAAGGACAGTGGTGATATGTGTTCGGGTGGAAAATTTAAGAAACAATTTTTCTAGAAATTTTTTTTGGTGGGAGAAAATAGAAAAGATAAAACTAAGCGATCTCATAAAGGGGATCATCATAGGATGAATGTTTAAAGAGCTCTAAACAAACTGTGGATTCGTTTTGATATATTTCGAATAAATTTTAAAAAAAAGATTTTTTATCCGAGGCCAGAAATAGATTATTTTCATCGGAAAGTTTGTTTTTATTTTATATTAAAAGGAACTATGCATATTCAATTACTGGAGTTTTCGATTGGACAGAAAGTCAGTTTTCTATGTCAAGGTATACAATTTTTTAAGGACATTTGAATTTTTTTATTGTTATTCAAAAGATAGTCAAATAATTGTCAACAAGTAGTCTTTAATCTGATCATATAATTCTACGATCAATTTTTTTCTTTGTTTTTGGCAATGGGCATTATTTTATTCAGCTTGAATTTTTGCTTCGTGTATATTCCATATTTCTATTTTTCATATCAATATTTCTGTTTATATTTGTGTTTTTTATTTCCAATTAGCTTCCATGAATCTAAATGCAATATAGAAATACGATATGAAACACAAAAAATCATATAAATTATTTTATGAAATTTATTAATTGCAAACAAACAAACCTGCAAAGCATCATCTTCAGGAAACTGTGCTTCTTTCATCTTCTCTATCAGTTCCTCCTTAACGTCTGTAAGACGCTGACAAATATTGTGCCACGTGTCAACTTTTTCCAGAAGACGGGGCCCAAAGTCCTGAACATATAAACAAACGTATTTAGATGTATCTTGCCCAATAAACTAAGTTATAGTGTAATATATTATTAAGATACTGACTGTCTTATTATTACGTGAATCTTTATTACAGTTTTACTGTTTACATTATAATTTAAAATATGTTTATTTTGCATTTAGATTACAACTTCGGAAATCGTCGTTCTTAAAATATATGGAAATCAAAACATTTTAACGTAAACATATTTTAAATTAAAACCATTGTTAATTACCATTAGATATAATAAATAATATAACATTCTATGTACCATCTTTATTGAGATTAAAGACTAGTAAGGCAAAATCTTGTCTATTTTGGACTTGATATACGAGAACGTTTCCATTAGTTCGATTCCAGTCTCTTATATTCCTGATATTTTTGATCAATTACTAGTTGTAATAATTCGTATTCCTTGTAGTGCAATTTATGTCCGAGATATGCGGTTATACTAATTTTGACGATCTTCAGCCTATGTGGATAAGTATTGTAGCATGTTGAAATTCCCCTCTCTCCTACAGCTAGTTTCCAGCTGTTCTCCGTGCGTAGAGGTTTTCTCCCCGGCTCTGGAACTCAATTTTTGCAATGTATGTTACCTGAAGTCATATTTAATTTATTACTGAACATCACAGTTTTTTAACAACAAGATTATCTTTTATAACTATATGTAATTTAAAGGATTTTTACCATGTATTTTTGGTGGCTCAGTTTGTCAAACCAGTTTGTCAAACGTCAGAAAACGTTTGTTTTTTGATGTAGCCCTTTTAAGGGTTTTTAAATAAATATACCCACTTACGAAGACTAACCTCTTTTTTTTTCCTCTGCATTCTTTGATCGTTAAGCGGCTTAATATTGCGCCTGAAATAAAGATTCACTTAGATCGCTAAAAAGGTTTTGCGTGGAAGAGAATTACAGAACTTTCAGTGGAGCCGCTGTGAGGAACAGTTGGTTTTTGAGTATCAGTCCGAATTTAGCTTCAAATTCGTAAAAGAATTTTCGTTTTTCGCCTTTTTTCATGGGAAAATGTGTAGTATTGCGTCAGTTATTAGTTAAAGTTCAAGATTTAAGTGAGGTTGGAAACATTGGCCATTAAGAGCAGACAGTATGCCGTCTCTCATCTAAGATATTTGTGAAACGGCGTTTTTTTCAATAAATATGAAAGATAACATGTTCCATTATTGAGTTTTTAAGGAGACTAGTTTCCAAAGTTTGCGTCTCAGTACTGGCTTCCATCCTCATTTTGTTTGTGCCTTGTTGTCGTTCCAGACTATAGATGCAGTTTTTTGCGTAACAGTGAATCTCCACTTCCACCCCCAGAAATTTTAGTAAAATACAGGTCAGTTTTTGTATTTGATGTTTAAAAGAAAAAATAAACATTTTCTAATAATTATTGCTTTCATAACAATTTAATACATTGTAATAATTAAAATTGTAGATCTTGGGATGTAGCTTAACTTGTCATATTAATTGTTCTCAGTTTTAAAATTTCATATTGACATCTGACAGCTAGCTTTTTTTTTGACATATGGTAAAATACCTAAATGAAGGTTAACCACTATGTATAGCTCCATTTAAAAGCTATTTTTCATTTATAATTTTTTCCGTTACAAATTGTCCCTCATTAACAATTTTAAGTTTTGTAGTATCTCCAACTTCTAGAGTTTGTGAACGATAAATATAGTAAGTGTTTTTCTCTCTTATTTTGTCTTTATTTTTGTGACTATTAATATTAGTATTTTGAACTATTTACTTTTGTAACTGTTTGTGGAGAGACAACAATAAATATAATATTTTCCCTAAACCATTTTGTTTATTTCTTTTAGAAAAGTTTCTAACCCAATTTTTGTGTTTTTAGTAAGGAAGGGCATTTGCTTTCATCCAGCAGATAGTTCTCTCATTTTAAATAGCTTGAGAACCTTCTTGTGTTTTTTTTTTGTTTATCCAGGAGACTCATGTATCCCTCTGTTTCCTTTTGTAGTTGCTCCAATCCAATACTATCTTGTCATTCACATATCCACGACACAGTCCTCCAAATAAGCCCTGAGTGACCATTCGCAACGTTTCGTTTTGTTTTGCTTGCCCTATTTTCACCCCAATAATTTCTGTCCCCAACTTTCAACCCCCTGTAGTAATAACCTATGTGGTAGGCAAAATAATCGTTACAGTATTCATCCTTGATAACACTTCTACGTTGGTTGTTTTTTTTTAATCCGTTTTGGTAATATAATTTTATGATAAATATATGCCAATATACGTCAGAACAATTAGTTGTTTATTTCATTGTGAGGATTTAGTACATATGTAATATTTTGAATGCAAAAGTTTCTTACCTACTTTTTCTCTAATTTTCCTAATGCTAAATGAATTAGGCAACCAATAGAATTTGAACAAAAATGGCTTTCGTCATTGAAAAGGATGACTCTGGTCTAAAAAAAAAGTTTTCTTATAGTTTATTCATAATTATTTACAGCGATCATTAATATAAATAAACGATTTCACTGTCTAGAATGCAAATACACATGATAATAATAGTCTAATAAAATAATTGAAATAAGTGCAGAGATATGGAGTGTATAGACTATTTTTAAACTAATGAAACACCATAGCAACGCGACATTTCTTACTGACAAAACTTCTTCCTGCCGGTGATTTCTCAGCCACAAAATTATGACATATCCGTCACGAAGATGTCTGGTAATTTTATTGTAGTCAGTTTGACAAACGTTATTGAGGCGTAATCAATTTTAGACAGATATAATAAATTCAGACAAAAAATTAAGATTTGGATGCCAGTCTGGTTAAATAAATAAAAAATTGGTTAGCGAAAATGTCTGAAAAAGTTAGAAAAAAGTTAGAAAAAGATGTACTACCGACTATTAAGTTTTGCCGACGATCAAGTAGTCATCGCACAAGATGAAGAAGATCTCAGCTTTATGCTTAAAAAAAACTAGAGGAAGAAGTATAAAAACAACCGAATGGAAATAAACTTAGAGAAAACCGAATACCTAACAAACAGAAAACAAGGATATGAGAAACCTAGAGATAGATGAGGAAGACAAGTAAATGGAACAGAAAAATTCAAGTATTTAGGAACCATAATATCTAACCAGGGAACAACAGAAGAGATATAAACAACAGACTAAGAAAAACAGAAACTGTATAAGACAACAAATTCTGTGCTGGTGGGATAAGAACATTACGATAAAGACAAAAAAGAAAATATATTATACCCTGACAAAAAAGTATCCTGACATATAAGTCACGAAAAACTGGACAATAAACAAGAGATATAGAGGTAGAATAAGAGCAGTAGAAATGGAGTTCCTGAGGAGAAGCTGTATGACTTACAAATAAGAGACAGAATTGAAAACGCAGAGATGGGAGTGCAATCAGACATAATCGACTATATAGAGGAAAAGAGACTATCCTGGTACGGCCACGTCAGATAGAGCGGACAGAGGACGCTGGATAAACAAAATCACAGAATGGAGCCCGATCAGAAGAAGAAAAGAGAGGAAGACCCCGAAGGTCATTCAGAGACGAAATCGAACGAGGCTATGGAGAAAACAAACCCTGCGAGATGGAGACTGGAATGACAGGGAAAATTGGAGAAAACGGTTGAGTAAAGGAAGACAGTGAAAACTGTGGAAATCCTTAGTAGTATTAGATGTACTACCATAACAAATTTAGCAAAAAGTCTGGAGTATTATGCTTTTAACATGAAAAAAGGCAATAACGAATCGTTCGGTATAAAAATCGACCCTTTCACAGATATATCTTTCAAGTTTGCAAGATTGGCCAAAGATACCACGCGGAGGCAACTTCAAAGTGTTAAAGAAAAAAAAAACTGAGTTAAACTCAGATAAACAAAAATAATAAATAAAGAAAAATATGTTATTTTGGAAAATTACTTAGACACGCGAAAAATAACTTTCTTTAACTAACAATGGAAGAAAAAAATTAGAGTAAATCGCGCTTCTGGTCAACGTCAATTGGCATGGCTACGTAACGTTAAGAAATAGGCAGGACTGAATCTCCAAATATTAATAAGAAAAGCTCAAAATAGAGACTAATTTGCAGAAATCCTTACCAACCTCCACTTGAGACAGCAAAGTAGAAAATATCTACACTAAAAACTAGTTTCCGACGTCTAATTATAGAGATCATATTAAAATGATTGGCGTTTATGCTCCAGCGATGGGTAAAACGGAAAAAAAGACAATATCTGCATGATTGACTTCAAAAAAAACTTAGCAAAGTTTGATGGCAAAACAGCAACTAGTGCCTAAATTCTGAATTTAATAAGAGAAAGATGTTAACTCTAGATAGAATATAAAAAATTTAATATACTAACAATATCAAAATACTTAAGAATCATCTTCTTTAAGTGCGGTCTCCCAATCGGAGGTTAGATATCATCATCAATATCTCTTCTTTATCTACCGCTTCTCTGAAGACTTCTATTGATTTGCATTTATACCGGTCTCTTAATTTTTTCAACCCAAACACTCACCTTCTTCCTATACTCTTTTCCAGTCTTATCCTTATCTGTATTATCAATCTTAGTATTCAAAGATCAACAGAAAACTATAAGTGAAAAGGAAAATTCAATCATAATTTTCTTAGAACGTGTTACTATTAAAATTAGATCCAGAAATAAGTATGTAAACACAAATGAATCAAAAATTCTGCCTTCTGTTGACAAAAATCTAATTGACGAATACAATCACTATACAGAGAATATCTTAGCAACCAAATGCTAGACCTATTAATAGTTATAATAAAAATTGTCGAAGAAAATACAAAATTTAATAAAAAAAAGTATTACCTTTAGTGTTTAAATATAACAAAGTACAAAACAACTTCAAATGATTACGTTTATACGGAAAGTCGTTATTTAAATACCAAAAATAATAATAGAATAAAAAATATATGCTTTTTAAATTCTAATGAAGGAGTTAGTAGCTGAGTATATCAAAAATAA